TTTTATTACTAATATACGTTTCATAATGTTTTTGTAAAGTTGGTATTATTTTGTAGGAATTTGCAGATTTATGTCAATTTTTTCGAGCTTATTGAGCTACTACCAAAAAAAATTGGAGTTTAATCGTATTTTATGACCGTATATTTGAAGCCCAAGACCGTGTTAGAGAAATTTGGTTCGGTGACTAAGGGCTCGATTAAGTAAAAGAGGTCTAAATTTTGCCACACGAATTACGGACCAAACAACAGAAGAAATGGGCTCTAAAAAAAAGAAGCCACAAGGCCCAGCTCGCAGCTGCAGTTGACTGATATGTCCAGTTTATATAGTGTTTTACCCCCGTCCCTTGGTCATAATTAGTAGTGTTTTTGGCTCTTTAGAGCCACTTTTATTACTAATTGATGTTTCTAGTGTTTTTGTTCCCTGGCGCTAGTTCCTACATGCCTCAGCAGCTTTCTGTGCTCGATAATATTTTCCAGTTTCGCGCAGCATTATTTCGATCCTAGTTATGAAAGATATCCCTCAAATTTCCTACGTGTAAAAATCCTATGTTTTAACTCATTACGGATGGTCTTTCCAATGAAATATTTTTTATGCATATGACAATAATGTTAATCAAAATTACGCACATGAAGTACTTAGAACTTTTCGAGTCTCATCCGCTCATTCTAAATCATTGCCGAAATAAATTTCAGGATTTAAAATAGAAATCGTCCCCAGTGGAGTCGCCAAATACTATAGGGAATATTTCAAGCATTATCCCTAGCTTGAACCCCACTATGATCATACACTAAAGTATGGTGGCGTCCAAATGGAAAGAAGCTAGAGCAAAAGAGTCGCCAACAAGTTTTAGGAACTTGTAAACCGTTCACGAGGTGAAGGTTACACCTCTTAACGATCCAGGAGATCGTCAACTCCAATAGGTCTTGAACAATGACTGGTAGGTCGGGGATGAAGGTACAAATCCAACCTAAAAGAGATTGAACCTGCCCTAATAATAGGTCTCTATTTCATTATGATCGTATTCATGTGCGCTTTCTCACTAACATACAATCAAATAGGATTAACCCTAAACCTGTTTATCTATGTTGGTTAAATATTAATGCACAAACAAAACTATTATTGATGATTACTTGAATTATAATCATATTAACCCTAAATAAGATTATTAATTATCTTATTAAGTGTGATTACAAGTACAAATTCCTTTCAAACATGTATAAAGGCGTGACCAAGCAATAACAATAAAATCAAGCAACATAATAATTCATCATAAATTATAATAATTATAATCATAATTGAAATAACAATAATAATAATTAAAATAATCATGTTAAAGCATAATAATAGCAGGATCCTAGGCATGATACTAACAAGATTAATAACAAACCCTAGCATGTCACTAACAATAAAAATCAAAGCTTTAGCCCTAACATGATACTAACATGATATTAAGAAAGACAATCAAAGGCATCATAGAAATCATACTTGATTTAAGGAACTTATTCTTTACCCTAAACATGATACTAGGAACTTATTGTTGTCATTGTAAACACCAAATTAAAAAAAACATCCTAACATGATACTAGGATTCAAAATAACAACCTAGACATGATTTCTATATCATAACAACAATAAATCAATTAAAGTACTTACTTGGATGCCTCGTATCTCTTTCTAATAACGAAATACACATGTTAGTAACTTCAAGAAAAATAATAAAAACAATTAAATTAAATAATTGAAATAGAGATTTGGGACCAAACCCTCAGAAATTAAAACCTTTCACGTATAGGGCAAAGGCAACTTCGAACTTGGCTAAGTGTGTCTAGTGCTAATGTATGAGGAATTGTGTTTGTAAAAGGCTAGGCTTAGAAAAGAGATAGAGAGAGAAACAAGAAATTCTTGATGAGAGTTGATGTTATTTGATGATTTTTTAACGAAAATTGATGATCGAAAACGGAGGTTTTAGGAGGCTATTTATAGAGAAAATCATCCAAATGGATAGAAAAACAAATCAGAGTTTCGACGAGGATAAAACAGGCTAGCGCCAGGCGCTAAGGCTAGCGCCAGGCGTCAAGCATTAGCGCCAGGCACTAATGCTTGTCGTCAGGCACTAGAAATTATTTTCACGCGTTTTCTTAATTCTGATAAAATTTTGTCGTATAGAAGGGCAGAATCGCATTTTCCTTAAAAACACTCTTTTATTTTGATTAAAACTCTAAAAAGTCAACCAAAGTCAATTTATCAATGCTAATTGAATTAGGAATGAAAAGAACCTTCTAGAAGAATCTAGAAGACTAAAATCAATTCTAATTGCATTAGGAATACTAAATCCATATTAGGCCCTCTATAGATCATTGGGCCACATATAAGTATCAAACCGGGCCCAGTTCTGTAATTTGGCCATAACTTCCTCATTATTCATCGGAATTGGGCTTATAATATATTGTTGGAAAGCTCTTTTCAAGCCCCATCCAACTACACTATTATTGGACCCTACTATGGACCAAACCAAACTGGATTGGCTGTTTTTTAAAAATCGATTTTAAAAAACAGAGAGTAGAGAAAAGAAATTAAAACTATCCGCAACACTAGAGTTTCCACACTTTCACTTCATTCGATTATGATTCGACGTGATAGGTACTCATCACCGGGTTTGATTTTGGGGAGACACAAATGGGTGTCTACATTAGCTTTGCCAAGTTGATTTGCTTCTGAATTAAACTTGCCAAAATAAAATGCTTATTGTACCAATTAAGGTCTTTTTATGTATTTTCTATCCAACAACTATTACAAAGCTACTAGCTAGCCATTGGAGCAAAAAGTAGGTAAAGTTCCTCTTATACCCTGGAAATTCCATTATTTTAAAATACTTTTTTTACTCTAATAAAAACTATTTTAAGGAAATAACCAAAATATTATCGACACCGTGATAATGGCTAAGGCTATTTTTCAAAGTCACACAGCGAGAGTCTAAAATAAAAACCAACTTTCAAATAAAACTTAAATTCACAATCTCAAACAAAATAGAAATAATCAAATGGAACCAATTCAAATATGACCCTTTTAAAAATTCACTTTAAATAAACACATCAAGGTTAGTCCATAATAGATAATCAAAACATAAAACTTGGAAAGCATATCAAGTAACTCTCGACATTCATTCCCATCATGCTCTTCATGCTTCAAGTACCAGTCATTTCCCCTTTATCTCAACCCTCTACTCACCATATAAATGGGTCATAGTAGGTCCAACCGAAAGAAAGTCAAACACAAATACAAAAGTACGAATCAACAAAAGTTGGGTGCATATGCACCAAATTAATATGAATATCCTATCAATAAGAATAATAATAAAACATGCTCACCATACAGTCATAGTCAACTTAGCTTTGACTCATAACTAGTAACATTAGTAATTAAATAATAGTTTTGGATTATGCGTCAAACGGGTTTCCTTTCTAAACAATAGCCCATTAATAATGGAGCTTCCAATCAGGGAGCCACTCCCCCTCCCAACAGGCACCTACTATGTCTCACCTTAGTGACGGAATTCCAGCGTATAAATAATAACAAAAGAAAGTACGTCTTATACCCCTATAGAAGCTATGGTTAAATATAAAACCCTATTACTCCAACACCCCCCCCCCCACATATGTTCATACTCAAGGTATATTTGTTACAAGATTTTTGTTGAGTATCCTCCTACACTTTACATGTGATGACTCTAACCAATCAATCAAGAATAAACATAACAATAATCAACACATTCTTTTAATAAATTCTTGAATTAATTAGTGAGCACATACTATTTATTTAAATTAAGGTTCCTTGCCTAGTTTTATGCACAAAATTGCACGATTACTACCTTGGTGCATAGAATGCACTAATAAGCTTTCTTAACTCGATCTCAACTTACTTGAGTGAGCAAATAAATAAACTAACTTTCTTGACTCAACACTAATAATAAATCGGTAAGAATAAAATTCATGAATCATGTTCAATAATTATAATTATAGCTATTTTAAACATGTAAGCTTTGCTTATTATTTTCATACTTCCTTGTTACTCAAAAATAGAACGTACTTACATGATTCACATATATTCAACTTGTATCATGCTTGAAATATCAATTCACATGCTTGCATAATAATTCATGTTCAACCAACACTAGTAGAAACATGTAGAATGGCACCGGTTCAAAATCCCTCTATGACACCGATTTTGAACCCTGAGTATTTGAGGGATGCCAAAAAGTAGGATATTTTGCACCAGTTCATAACCGGTGGCAAAAAAATGGTTTTTGGCACCGGTTCTAGTTCAAAACTGGTGCCAAAAATTCCATATACTTGGCATACACTTGACCATATATATAAACTAAAAGTGTGATTAGTTTCCATAATAAACTAATATTGAAATTTGAAGCTAGGTATTTTGACTCAGCAAACTAATAATTTAAAGTAACAAGTTGTTACTAGAAATGTCAGTGACTGATTAGAAGAACGTATGCAAGCTTATCATCGATCTCATTTAATTGAACATACACAATAAATATATGCATGAATTAGGACAACAATACGTTATTTTCTTGTCTCATGCATGCATTTGATTAATGCTTAATATTTGATTTGCAATCTAATTACTTCAATTAATGTCATTGATTTATATAATAAGTTAATAACATGCATTTTGACAAAAAAAAAAAGGTCAGAGTTACATAAATCTGGCAGGTGTTCTCTGCTTGGCTCAGTATATGTAATTTTATGTTCACTATGACTTTTATGAGTAGCTACACACAGCATTGCATGCTTCAACTTATAGGTACTTTATTTTTCTAAATCCGCTCTTACAACTACAAATTGCAATATTGATGAGATAAAGGACAACTACCTAATCGGGAGTTGATGTATAATTACTAAACATCAAACATAATTCATTTGTTGAACACAAATTCTTTGACAGAAACATAACCAACAATAATAATACCCCTTGATAAAAATTAATAAGGCAACATAGTAGCATTTACAAGAAATCCACCAATAGATCTCAACAAGTACGGACCAAAATAAGTCATTGATTATCAAATAAAGCCAAATTCTTGCTGTAGAGAAGCAACTCATAGTACAAAAATAGAATGAGCAATCACCGAGAGAAGCACCAATAGTTTATGGCTTTACGCCCTGGCCAATCCAAAAATCCTTATCCACTTATGCATTCAACCTCAAATAACTTTGAATCACATACACATAATCAAAATACTTCGCCGATATCAACAAAACCTCAAAAGGTAACAAAACTAAATTCATAATACCAGTTCATTTACAAAATAAGAAAGTATATTTCATTGTCTTTCTACCAATGTAGTTCCTCAACTGTATTTACTAATAGAAACTACCGACATTTCAAAGTTCCAATTTGACATAGATCCAGCTAAACCCTTCTAAAAGCCCCAAGCACCAAGACTGTAGCAATTTTACTGTTCCTTATGAACACAAAATTGACGGTTTTGCCCTCCCCTGCCCTTAGCACCCTTCCCTGATTGACCAAATTGCCAGGGGTGGTTCGGTCTTTTTGCTTTGACATTCCAGGTGTTCAAAGTGGGCTGACGCGTGGCATTCATCCTCTTAGTCTTTTCGGGTTGCCCATTTCTCTCTCCTGCCTTTTGCTCCTCTCATCCTCACTTCTCCTAACTCCTAAGCATCCTCAAATTTCTCTCTTACTACTGCATTGAAACGCACTTTGAGTTCTCCATTAAAGCGCACTCTGAGTTCTCCATTGTCTTATCCTTTGTTTTTTTCCGCCTGATTTCGAAATTCTGGGGTTAGGGTTCGGGTTTTTGGTTGGTTTTCAAGATACTCAAATCTTGATTTACTTTAATCAAAATTCTTCATCTCTTTTGATGAAGTTGAGTTACTGGGTTCATTTCTTCTGCTGTAAATCGGTTGAATTGTAGTTTGAAGCAATGTTTACACCTTAGAAGAAGGTTTTTACGGGTTGGTCTTTGTCGCCGAGGAGAGAGAATCAGAAAACTCCAGTGCCGAATTCGAATTCTAGCGCGCGAATTTCTGAAAATGGAGGTGCGATTGTTGTTAGGGATGGAGACGATCTCGAAGATTTGGATGGAAGAACTGCTAAGCTTGGAAATGAGGTGGGTTTATTTGTTAATTATATCTGTTTTATCTTAATTACTTAATTTTCCCTTTTTTTCTTTTTTTTTTTTTTTTGCATCAATTATGATTTTTTGCTCACCTGGGTTTGCTCTGTATTTACTATATTTTTGTGGGTCTTACTTTATTTTTTTTAATTCAATGAATTTTAGTATTTTGTGCTCTGATTTGAGTAGATTTGTAGTTTTGCTTAACGATATAAGTACTCCGTTTTGTTTGAAGTATAATATTAATGAATGTTGGGTCTACTTGAGTAAGGTTAAGAATTAGTTGTTTTTTTTGCCGTATTTTAATCGGAATTCCCCACTCAAAAAAAGAAGAAGCTTGAAGCTGTGTATGTATTGTAGTCAATGAAGTGTTGGGTGTAGCGGATGTGAGGTGCATTGGGATAATTGCTTCTTCCGTTGTACCAAAATGTCGATCGACCTTGAATTGTTAAGGTATGGTGAATATAAGGCGGTGTGATTTGTGGTCTTTTTCGGCGAAAATTTAGGAACTTTGGATATTATTTATAATGAAAATCTACTTTATCATCTAAGGGATAGTGATAATGGCCCATTTTTAGGAGTTTTAGATCCTATTGTAGCCTCATTGCCTTGTTTAGTTGTTTTTATGGGCTATAATTGGATTTACAAAGCTAGTTTGCTGCTTTAATTGATGGTCATTGATTTAGGGAGCAGCTAGGTTTTTTTCTTTTTTTCAATAATCTTATATAATTACACCATCTAGGGTGTAATTTCACTCTATCGTTGATTTAGTCAAATTAGGATTCTTCTTAGGTGGATTTCATGTAATTTTTGGACTATTTTTGATGAAAGAGTACTGAAACTCTGATGAATTTGGGTTGTTTGTGACTTTGATCTTTCATTGATTAATAATTTCTTCCCCTTTTTCTATGATCTGGAATTGATATATTTTTAGGTATACGGTTTTATAATTCTTTTGGTTTATTAATTCCAGAAATTGAGCTGATATCTTAAATTTTTTATCTGTGGTGGTGTTCAAATGGTGGCGGATCTGAGCAGCGGCTTAATAGTAGTTCTTTTTCGTAGTCGACGCAAAAGTATGGCATTTAGTGGTTTAGGTTTTGATTATGGTGTTTGTTAATGGCTTGGATCAAGGAATTGTTGTTGGTTTGATTTTGTGTTAATACAAATTAATTATTTAGGACGGCATTGTGTGATTTTATAAAGCAAGGTGGAGGAATTGTTATATGATTAATGAATGAATGGGTAATTACATACATATAGTGATTTAGATGATTTTTTTTGGAATTTGTAGTTGCAAATTTTGATTAAAAGCGACAAGTTGTAACTGAAGTTGAATAATAGGCGTCTTTTCGTGGCTCATTATAGTAGTGATCCAATTTAGTGCTCATTATAGTATCTTTTTATGTTGAAATCCCTTGCCATTAGTCCAAACATTTGTAGTTCTGAAATGTACATCCGTACCAGTAGCTTAGAATACTACTTCCATTACATACTATACGCTGAATGTATGAGATGTGCTGCATATCACACCACACAAATATCGTACTTGTATTTCATCTAATCTAAATAAAGATAAGAGACTTCTTTAAGCATAGTACCTAATTCTATTGAAGGTTAAAAGCTGCAACATAACCTAAATTACTGTGAATCTAGACAATAATAGATTCGAAAGGTTATAAGAAATGGTGCAGCTGCTCTGCATCTCAAGTTTGGTGGCTGCCTGTCATTCATGTCAATGGCAGACATTGATTCTTTGGAAGAGTGGGAGGAAAAAGATTGCTTCTTTTGAAGCCGTGATTATCAAATCTAGGATGTTAGTTGAAGCATGTGACACATTGGAAGGGGTATTATTTTTAGTCAGATAGCTTCTATGTGTGGAACGACCACTATTTTTATTACTTCTTACTTGCTACAATTAGTGTCCATATCAAAAGTATTTGATGATGCTTTCTTGTATTGAGTTAGTTTACAGTTTGACTGCAATTTAGATATAGCAGGACTTTAGTTTTATGAAGAATGTGGGTTTATTTAAAACTGAAGTGCTTTCTTATTTTATCTATTAACCTTTAATTTTGAAAAGAGCTGAATATGTTCACTTAGGAAAATGTTCTTTATTTACATTCAACTGTTTTTATTTGATTTCAAGTTCAAGTAAAATTTTTATAATATAAAGTTATACACTATTCTAATAGTCAATCAGTAACACCCTCTTAATTACTCTTTGCTCTTTTTTCCGATCCTTTGCGCCTTCAACCAGCACCTCTATCTTACAGGATGTGATATTGAGGATCTCCATGAACTGAAGCCAACTAAGTTCTGCGGGATCCTCGGGGTTTTTGAACATTTATACACTGATTTATATGCATTTATGAAACCCCGCAGTTGTCCTCCTCAATGATTTTCGTTTTATTCTGATAAAAAAAGACTATGAGTACACACTAAAACCCCTCTATCAGAACTATCAGAAGGTAATTGCTTTTTTGATTTGTTTAAATCCTTAATTTTAAAATAATTGATGTTGATTTTTTAGTTGTTTCTTGTTCATTCTTCATATAATTTTTCTAATTTTTGTTGTTTTCTTCGGATTAATTGATTGGGCTCATGTAATATTAGAGACAATTATTGATCGGGATCGGGTTGTCCTTCAGTTTTCGGTGGGTCGCTAAATCGCAAGACCCACATTTCTTGCTGTTCCTACAGCTGGTCTTCAGGTAGCCTTTCCTCATTTGTTTGATTTCAGATCAGAATAATTCATCAGGTAGCATTTAGATTGATATAATTTGATTTCTGTGGGTTTGTGTGGTGTGTCATTGTGCTGCATTTTTCTTTTTTGCTGCAGATCGAGACTTGTGATAGCTCAAGCAAGGCTCACAGTGTATTCTTAGCCCGAAAAACCCAAGTTTCTATTCTCTCTATTTCTTCCCAATTTGAGATTATGCTTTGTTCGTTATTTTTTGTGTGAAATTGTTGAGATTCTTTAATTTCTGCATTAATTTCTTTAATCAAGCTGTCAAGGGTCAACTCAGGAATTAATCTCTCTAAATTGATTAGTTGTAATTTAGTCATTGGTCTTAGTGATTGGGAAATATTTGTATTAGCTTCATATCCCTGCTTATTGTTTCTTGGGGCTTGCATTACTTTTAACAGGGAACGAATGAGAAGATAGAGCAGTTGGAGATGGATCTCGAACAAAGTAGGAAGGTAAAGTTTTGTTTCTGTTTTTCCTTACTGGAATGACATGACATATTATTTACCTATTTGTATCTTTTACTCTTCCAGGAAGTTCAAAAATACCATGACATGTATGTTTTTGAGCAAGAAGACTTAGAAGAGAAATTGGGTTTAGATGTTGAGCTCCAAGATTGCAAGGTATCTTATCACTGTCCTGAAAAGCTTCGAGGAAAGGAAATGATTTTGGTTCAAAATCTCTTACTCATGCACTAAACTTTAGCACCAATTCTAATCTAAGTCTGCTAATGAAGCCTGTTCTTCACAGCACTATGAAAAATAATAAAAAAATGAACCGAAGAAGATTGAATAAGTCTTGAAGCAAAGTAACAAATAAAGATATTAGTCTAAGCTTTTTAGGGATTACGAGGTGAAAGATAATCAGGCTTAATTGGATACGGAAAAAAAATGCAACTACAATGGAAAAATTGTTGTGTATTGAATAATTATTTATTTGTTTATACAGACAGCACCAAATATACTCTTCATTAGGGATGATTCCACATTCTACCGCATTAACTACTCTTAGTTAGCGAAATAGGAAACTGTCTTTAGTCACGGTCTTGAAATTTATATGGAAAAAACTCAGGTTATGGATTGTACAGTATGCGCACATTGTAGGATGTAGGGAGTATCAAAATATGCAATATTCAAGTGTAACAAGTATTCTCAGTTGATTCAGGAAATTTGAATTGAACAGTTGATTCAATTCAGAAATTTTGAACAAATTATGCAAATATTCAAGTGCAACTTGGAATTGAATATTCAAGTGCAACTTGGAATTGAATATTCAAGTGTAACAAAGTATACACACATTGAATCTAGATTTTGTTGGATTATAGCTCAATGTGAAAAATTTCCACATTTTTTGTTAGTTTGGGGAATAATTACATTGAATTAGACTAAGTTATGTTGGTTTTGGAGATTCAAATGCTGGATTTTGTACTAGGGATAAAATGATTAATGTATTCTTATCTTATCTGTTGATGCTTAATATGGAAGGGAGGTTGAATATTGATAGTTAACTGATTCATGTGCAAGTTTTTGGATGTAAGAGCAATGTATTGTTTATGCCCCCTCTTTTTGGATGTAAGAGCAATTAGAATGATTGATGGTTGAAATTAAACTATGTTTGCTTCACTATTTAACATTATTTGTTGTAAGAGCAATTAGAATGATTGATGGTTGTTTCTGATTTTTTTTTTTTTTTTTTTTTTTTGGTGTGAAATTGTGTTATCCTATTTGAAAGTTAAAACTTTTAGTTTGGGTTTTTATAAAATAGAAAAATAGTAAGGGCTGGAGTTTCAATCTTTTCGTGATCTTAATAGTCTTGATATATGTCACCTTCAACATATTTTGATACGGCTTGTGATTTCCTGGTGTTGCAGTTCAATCCGGATGAAATAGCTGCGTTGTGAAAGATTTCAAGGAGTATGAAATGGGGATTGTAATGTAGAATTCTTGGTCATTGAACAAAATCAGAATTTCCAATGGGATTGAAATATATCCCATATTCAAAATAATTGTGAATATGAGTGTCAATTTTGTAATCATTAGCTATTTACCGTTGTAAATAATACGAGTAGGTTGAATTTTGAAATAATTAGCCATTGCCCCAGCTCAATTTCATTCTCAAGTGACTGGTTTAGGTACTACTTTATATTATACCTGTACATTTGTCTGAAGACTTAATAGCGATATTTATTTTATGATGCTTTAAAAATATATGAACAATCTCTAAGTCTTTTAACAAATGTATTGGTAAAATATTTCCTTAAAAATTTTTTAGGTATGATAGGAATTAGGAAGTATAAATAATTTCTAAACGGCTATTCAATTAAGGGGTGCTTGGTTCACAAAATGTTGTAAGTTTGGAATTATGAATGAAATTAGGGTGGTGTGAGTTTGAAATTAAGAATGAAATTAGGGTGATATAAGGTTGGAACTTGATTCTTAATACATTGTGTTTGGTTTTATTTGTTTTAAATTTTTTTTAAGGTGTGGTATGAACAATACTTACCTCCCCTACCTTGTTGGTTTGAGGTATAATTTAAAAATTAGATTTTTCTTAAACAGACATTACTGTCAAAATATATTCACATATATCTTAACAATTAGGTAGTGGTTTTACTCATTCCAACCCCATTCCTCACACATAGGCCTGGTTATTAGGCGGGTCGAGTCAGTGTGGGTCGGGTCAAAGTGGGTCACATTTTATAGGGTCAGTATAGGGTCGGGCCGATGCGAGTCGCGGGTCAATAATGGGTCGATAATGGACGGACCTACAAAATATTAATTACAATAAATATTGGACAAAGCCATTATTAAATACATATGAATACTAATTTATCTATATACTTATTTTTACATTATTTATTTCCTTTATCAATTAAATTGGAAAAATATTTTGGCCGTATATTGACCCTACCCAATAAGGGCCCTATCCATTAAAAAGCCCTATAAGCTTGGCCCTGACCTTGTTATCATTGGGCTACCCTACTAAATAACCACCTCTACTCACACATAAAATCTACGAATCAGACGCCCCTTTAAACTTCCACCGAATGAAGCTTACTCTTACCAAACATCTCTTGGGAAAAATGGTTGTAATTTTTTTTAAATTTATTTGTAATCTTATATAGTTTTTCATGTTATATGAAATTGAAACATATTTCAAGGTATTAGAATATCGAGGTAAAAAAAAAAAAAAAAAAAACAAAAAAAACACATTGAGTTGTAATTTTTTTTTCCTAACATATCATCTAAAACTTACTTACTACAATTATTGTCCATATAAAAGAAAAAGTACTTTGTTATGTTGAATTAGTTTATAATTTGTCTGCAATTTAGACATTGTAGGACTATAGTTTTATGAACAATGCAAGTTAATATAAAGTTGGATAAGTTTTGAAATAAAAGACCTAAATTCTGTTGCGACAATAACAAGCCAAATTAACCAAACAAAAATCATCCATGTAAAAATGGCTGAACTTCAAACAGTTTTTCAAATTATTTGAAGCTCCGTTGATGGAGATTGATGATAATGCTGCAAGTATTAATAGCCTAGACTCTAATTAACAAGCTCCTCTATCTTCGGTAACTTCCTTGAACTGTTCATCTTATAAGTACGACACTGATGCAGAGTTAAAGCCACTACATTTGCCATGCTTGCTGATCCTGATAGTGCAACGCTCATGTTTCTTTTGCAAAAGAAAACTCAGCAAGTATAACCTGCTTAAAGTTAAGTTGAATAAAGAATTATTATCTACAGATTATGCAAAGTTCTTATAATTGAAACAAATTTCTTTGACATTATCTTACAAACTGCTCCAATTTTAGTTGAAGCAGTAATTTGTGTATAGCTAGAGTGATCATTATACGCTAACCAATCATAGCAAAACAAAATCAGCAATCAAAATGCGACCAATTACATTAACACATAAACGACTAATTACACATTAATCACCGAGGTGAAATCACCAAATTGGGGGACTGCGCGCGTAGCGCGCGGGCCAACAACTAGTTAGGGCAAAAGTGGCAACAAAACAATCAAAATTCGGCATATAACCAATTTAATTAGCATCACAAACCAAAACTGAAGAAAATTACAAACCCTTTTTTTTTAGTCAATCACTGCAACTTAGGCACCTCTTCAAGTAATTGACCTTTTCCACAACCGACTCCCTGTTCGACTCATTTGCAATTGTTTCAGCTTTCTGAAAAACAAAGTCCCCCAATTCAATAACCATAAATTCAATCAAACCCTAAATCAAGCAATCAAACAATGAGAGAAGAAAGAGCAGAAGACCTATACACAATTTCAATGTCGGATTCGACGGAAGAGTAGAGACGAGCAAAAGCGTCGTCGCCCGAGACATTGGAGCCGCGCTGCTTTTTGATGTCGTATTTGTCGTATTTTTGGCAGATCGCGTCAACTCTGGTGATAATGTCAATCTCACTCATTGTTAATGCAATTAAAAAGAATGGTGAGTGTAGAGCTTCAATGGGTTTGGTTGAGAAGAGAGACAGGAGAGAGAGGAGAGAGAGAGAGAGGAGGAGCGAAATATGAGGAGAGAGAATGAAAATGAAAAAAGAAAAGGAAAGAGATAAAGAGAATAAATAGGGGAAGGGATAAAAGGGCCGCTTTTTTATTTTAAATGTCACTGGTTTGGTTTGAACTGGTGCCCTTTAAGGAACTAGGCACAGGTTTGGTTTAAACCGTTGGTATTTCCATTAAACTAAATTATGCCTTGTTTTTTTCCCACCGATTTTTAAGAACCGGTGCCAATTCCTCGGTGCGCATTTGTGTTTTTCTACTAGTGCAACATCAATTCCAAGCATATAATCAGCTAAACATGCTACTAATTGATCACTTCATCACAATTCACAATCCTAGCATGGTACTACGCTACACAAATATTCTTGTGCACATATGTACCTTGAATAATGTCTTAACTCGGCCACACTCACTATAAATCACTTAGCTCGAAGCGTCCTACAATTAAAATACATAACTACAATCAATCCATTATTCTTAATAATTTCTAGCAACTATAATACTATATAAACCATACTAATTAACCCCTTTTAATGACATATAAGCAATAAAACCTTATCTTAAAGTGGATACTTCAAATCTTTTTAAAAAGACTTAGTTTTCATGATTAAAAAATAATACCAGCATACTTATTTTCCCTTCCCCTATTCATTCTCTTTTATGGGTAATCAAACCCTAACTCTATAATTAAAAAGTAGTGTGTGTAAATGATTCCAGCATTAAATTGAATGCTTTAAATTTATCAAAATATGAGTAGTCCATGAATTAATCAATAACAACAACCTAGCCTCAATCCCTAACCAATTATACAAAAGCCCCAATTTCTAAGGTTTATAATTTGGGGGTTTTTTATTAAATAAAAAACTGAAATTTATACTAATAAATTAGCAACATCAAAATCCTAAAATCTATACCAAAACATAATAAAAATCATTCCTTTAAAAGAAGTTTTTTATACACACAAATCGTAAAGAGAGAGAAGGAGGAAGACAGAGGCTCCAGCTAGCTAGGCTGCCAGCACTGCTACCGCTGCCAGTGGTGGTGGTGGCGTCGGTGAGCTAACCGCGCAAGAGAAGGGAGAAAGAGAGAGGAAAGGCATGATATTTTAGGATAAAAAGAAGAAAAGGAAAATAAAAATAAGTAGAAAAGGAAAGAGAGAAAATAAAGAGGAAACCTTTGAATTTTTGTGAAATCTGACAATTATGAACGTGTGTGGAAAATCTTAATATTTCAAAGTATTTATACTCTCCTTACAAAAATAAAACTCATATTAACAATTAGGCGCGGGCAACTGGTTGATCCTTGCCCGAGGCCTCGAAAGGTGTACCATTGCAAGGAAGGATGTACCACTGCATGGTACTAAGCACCGCGTCACGGTGAAAATCACCATGGCACGGTGCAAAGTGCCACAGCTTGATGTTGGCATCATAATACAATATAGAAGTTGCATCGCAACTCAGCACTTGTACTGTGCCACGATGCTGGCTACGATGGTAGCAGTATCGCTGCAACGCTGCATCTTGCTGTAGCAAAATATACTTGTGCTAGCTTCATTTAATGCGCGGGTGGCACAATACATGCTTCTTAAGGCGGAGCAAGGGAATTGGGCAGGTGCCTTTGGGCGCGGGGCTAGTACTTGCCCAAAATAGGATTTTAAGCCTTTGAAAAGGAAAGCTGATAAATCTTGCCCTATACACTTGCCCCGGGTGCTTTTCTTTGCCTGCTAACTTGGCTCACTTGTACTCTAACTTACCGAACTTGATTTACTTGACTTCTATAACTGTTGTCGAGCTTCCTTCTTGATATTTGAATCCCGGAAAACCCGACACACCTACAAAACAAGCCAAAGAAATGTAAAAGCGAGAGAATAGCAAAAAAACAAAAAAGCTTTAAAAGGATATTTTTTTCTTAACCATTAAAAATACGCATTTCTCTAAAATTATACGCAAGCACGCAAAACAATCATTATTACCTAAATATACGACAAAAGAAGCAAAACGAGAAGAAAACTATCCTATGAGTGCCATAATGACACTCATTAATTAGTCCCACTCGATTGAAACGTATTTAATGATCATATGATGAAAATGAATATTTTCAATTTTTTCATGTATCAACATCTTAAAATTATATACTAATACAAAATTAAAGATATCAATTGTGAAATTTGTGTATCTGCAAGCATGTTCACTCAAACTACTGCAATAAATAAAAATTGAGGGATGTAGGGAATATTACAAACATTACCCCAAACTTGAACCCCACTGTGATAACACACTTAAGCATGGTGGCGTCCAAAGGGAAGGAAGATAGAGAAAAAGAGTCGCCAACAAGTTTTAGGAACTTGTAAACCGTTCACTAGGTGAAGGTTACACCCCTTCACTATCCAGGAGATCGCTAACTCCAATAGGTCTGGAACCATGACTAGTATTTCGGGGATGAAGGTACAAATCCAACCTAAAAGAGATTGAACCTGCCCTAATAATAGGCCTCTACTTTATTCTGATCGTATTCATGTGCGCTTTCTGACTAACATGCAATCAATAGGTTTAACCTAAACCTGTTTAATCTATGTTGGTTGAATATTAATGCACAAATAAAACAATTATTGGCGATCACTTGAATTATAATCATATTAACCCTAAACAAGATTATTAATTATCTTATTAAGGGGGATTACAAGTATCAATTCCCTTTAAACATGCATAAAAGGTGTGATCAAGCAATAACAATAAACATAAAGCAACATAATAATCATAAGTAATAATCATAATTATAATCATATCTATCATAATCATGTTAAAGCATAATAATTATAGCAAGATCCTAGGCATGATACTAACAAGATTAATAACAAACCCTAGCATGTCACTAAACATATAAAAACCAAAGCTTTAACCCTAACATGATATTAACATGAATATTAGGAAGAGAAAATAGGAAGCATCGCAGGAATCACAATTGTCATATTTGATATTAGAAATTTTAGTTGTTACCCTAAACATGATACTAGAAAGATCAAAACACCCTAACATGACACTAGGAATCATAATAACAACCTAGACACGATGTCTAGGAATCATTATAACAATGCAAACAATTAAAGTACTTACTTGGATTCCTCATACCTCTTTCTAATAACAAAATACACACATTAGTAACTTCAAGGAAAATAATAAACAAACAATTAAATCAAATAATTGAAATAGAGATTTGTGACCAAACCCTTAGAAATTAAAACCTTTCACGATGTCTAGGGCAAAGGCAACTTCGAATTTGGCTAGGTGTGTCTATATCTTGTGAATGCGGAATTTTGTATGCAAAAAGCTAATTTAGAAAAGAGAGAGAGAGAGTAATCAAGAGATTCTTGATGAGAATTGGTGATTGAAAACGGAGTTTTAGGAGGCTATTTATAGAGAAAATCAGCCGAATATGATAAAAAAATAAATCAGAGTTTTGAAAAGAATAAAACACGATCGCATCGCCAAACACGCGCCTGTCTCCTGACGACAGATCTGTCGCCAGGCGACAGAGTTGTCGTATGGCGCTGGAAATAATTTTCCACGCGCTTTCTTATTTTGATAAAATTTAACTGTACGAGAGGGTAAAACTATATTTTCCTTAAAAACACTTCTTTTATTCTGATTTAAACTCTTAAAAGTCAACTAAAGTCAATTTATTAATGCTAATTAATTTAGGATTCAAAAAAACCTTCTAGAAGATTCTAGAAGACTATAATCAATCCTAATCATATTAGGAAAGATAAATCAATAATAGACCCTCCTCTAGATCATTGGGCCGCATATAAATATAAAACCGGGCCTAGTTTAGTAATTTGGCCATAACTTCCTCATTATTCATCGGAATTGGGCTTATAATATATCATTGGAAATCTCCTTTTGAACCCAGCCCAACAAAACCTTTATTGGACCCTTGTCATGGACCAAACCAAACTGGATTGGGTATTTTCTTAAAAATAGGTTTTCAAAAATAGAGAGAAAGAAAAGAAATAAAAACTAACCACACCACTAGACTTTCCAGACTTTCACTTCATTCGATTATGATTCGACGTGAAAGGTACTCATCACTGGGTTTAATTTTGGGGAGACACAAATGGGTGTCTACAGAATCCCCCACTTTGACTGATTTTGGAGAAATCATGTTTCGAAAACAAAAGTCAAAGTAGCGATAGGGACGGAGAGTGATTCGGAACGTTCTGCGATCCTAAATCATTCTTGTAACGCCAATACCTGCAAAATAGCATTAGTAAAACAGATAAAAGAGTTAAGAAACGTGTATCTTGCACCGTTGAGCACACGTCTTTGGAGGAGTAACCGATTAGTTGAATTGTTGTTGTTGTGACAACTTTCCACAAGATAGAGAATGCCATCCTGCTGTTTGTTTTGACGATCTTCCGCAAGCTAGAGAATGCCGCCTGAAGACTGCTACGCTTGTTACTGCCTCCAATCCTGCCGTGAAAGACTTCTACAGTCTAGAGAACCCCATCGAAGATTGCTTCGCCTGAAACGACCTTCTAGCGCTTTGTGTCCATCTTCCGCAAGCCAGGGAACACGATCGAAGATTGCTTCTCCTAAAAATACTCATTTGTTGCGACAATACCCTGAAGAGTATCACCGAAGACCAACGCCTATTGATCCTTTGCTTTTGGTATGCCAGTGCGTCGACGCTTTGCTGCTTTTGAACCTCTACGTCGGTGCTTCTGAATTGTGAACCAGTATGTTGGTGCCTTTGCTGTATTGAACTATTATGTCAGTGCCTTTATATTATGAACCATTATGTCGGTGCCTTTGCAATGAGCCAATTTTTAGGCGAGTTAAGTTAAGTGAGATGATCATTCATCAGCTCGATCACTTAATGCGATTGTAACCGAGCCGATAACTAAATCATGTCAAATTTCTTATAGGGGTTAACTGGTCTACCAAGGAACCCAAAATTGTTGTAAGAGGTCAAAATAACCGCTCTGAGTGGCTGAGGGTTGTGTCGTCGCTGAAACGTCACTGGCGCCAAGATTTGGCTTTGTC